TCTTTCTGTCCAACTACCTTTGTTCTGGCTTGTTCTTGTTTTCCTGGGACCTATAGAACACCATCATATTCTGTAGTTGAAATTTCTGTAATTCTTACGTAAGCCTTTCTACCTGTAGGCTCTCTGCGGCGTCTTAGAGGTTCTGATAAGTTGGGCTCTTGTTTTCACTTGGCTCTAGGAATTTGTAGTCTCCTTTCTGATTCGTCAATGACACATTGTTTATTCAGGTTCTCCAAGTACTTGCAACTTCTATGGTTTTTCCAAACTGTGTTGTTGCTAGTTTTATTCTACTATGTTCTGATGAGATACAGGAATTATTTTGACTTTGTTGTATTTGTTAAGTCTCTAACAAGCCAAAAAACTAAACAACTGAAAACCAAAATATAAAATAAATATATAAGCAATATAATGAAGTAGAAAAATTATTAATAGTGTTTCTTCCTAGTTGAGATGGATGCTATTTCCCTCACACCCTCAGCAGTCTTTTACCTAGCATTGTAGGTGGGAGGAGGGCTCCTTAATTCAAACTACATCAGAATGTCCTCCCTCCTGAGGGATATTAGGCAAAATTGTTGGGAATTAAAGGTAGATTGCTACCAATCACATGCCACAGTTGATGCGCTACCATAGCTTCAAGAGTTGCTATCCTTTGGTCAAGAGAAGAATTAGGACTTTTTAGTAGTCTTAGGGGAAGATATTGGCAGTTAAATGAGAAGGGAGCATATTAGCCATGCTGACTTTATTCAGGAGTTTAAAATGTGTTATGGGACGCACTGGTAGATTGTGAAATTCTTTCATAAAGCTTATAGACGAATTCATAGTTTCACATTTTTATTGTATTTATTGTGTGCGTGCTCCCATACATGTGCCACTGCACACGTGTGGAAGGCAAAGGCTGGCTTGCAGGAAGTGTTGGCTCTCTCCTTTCATCATGTTGGTCCCAGTGATTGAACTCTGGTTACCAGGCTTGCTGCCAAGCACCTTCACCCACGGAGCCATCTCCTCAGCCCCCAAATCCATATTTTTAATGTAATTATAAAGCTAATATGTATCTTCTTGCTCTTTCTACTCCCAAACACACACTGGTTTGATTAACAGGTACAACTGTTATTTTAATAGTATTTGCTATTATATTTCTTAAATTTAAGGTTTAAAACAAACTCATGCCCCATACCGTTCTAAACAGGATTTAGCAATCTCTAGAATGGTTTACTTTATAAGACTTAGATTTGAGAAACTGGAAATGTTTGTCTTAACATAGTGGATTTTAAATGATGGCGTTCAGTTCCACCTACAAGGAGGCAGGGTATGTTTTTGATGCAACTGGAGATATGTTTTTGATGCTTGGGAGAGAAATCAGGACTGGAGACACACATTTGAGAGGCCACAGAAGATACTCATTTCCAAAGCCTTGGTGTATGTCTGCCTTTAGGAAATGGGAGCAGTGTGGCTGTTGAAGATACATTGAAGAATAGAGGGAGGCCAAGGACATAGAAAATTTCCAGAAAAGGAAGGTACCCACAAAGTCAGATCCTACAGAGTAATCTGCCAAGCAGTAACACTGCTGTGATGTTGAATTTTCAAAGCATTTTCTTATGAGCATGATTTTATTTGAAGATACATGAGGTTAGTAGACTAATACTCAGATTTTATCCTTTAAAAGATTATTTGAGGACTGGAGAGATGGTTCAGTGGTTAAGAGCACTGGCTGTTTTTGCAGAGGACTTGTGTTCAATTCCCAGCACCCCCGTGGTGGCTAACAACCATCCATAACTATAGTTCCAGGGGATCCGATGCCCTTTTCTGATCTCTGTGGGCACTGCTTGAAATAAGTGCACTTATGTACATTCATGCAAAATACTCATACACATAAAAATATAAATAAAAATTTTAAAAGACTGATATTACAGAGAGCAATTCCTTAATTTAAAATAGTTCATATATATGCTGGGTGTGGTTACACATGCCCTTAATCCTAGCACTTGGGAGGCAGAGGCAGGCAGATCTTTGTGAATTCTAGGCCAGCCTGGTCTACATAGTGAGTTCCAGGACAGCTGTGGCTACGTCCAAAAAAAAAAAAAAAAAAAAAAAAAAGTTCATTATAAAGAGTTCAAATTAGAAAAAAAAAAAAAAAAAGTTGAAATCTGAGTAAACAGGAAAGAATATGAATTGATATTTTAAGGGAGGTAATGTTCAAGAGCCCAATGAACATATGAAAAGTGTTCAACAACAAGACACAACCTAACCTTCCCTGTTTTTCTTTTCCCCCACAGATGCCAGGAGAGACATACAGCAGTACGGAAGAAACGACAGATAGGCATTTCTCAAGAGGTTCTCCATTGGTGTCTAATATTCCTAGTTTTTACTTTTCAAGAATGTAAATTATTGCTCCCATGCTCGAGCTTCAGCATTTGGGAGTCTTAACATAAATAAAGCTTAAGGAAATACTGAGAAACAATGCATGTGATAGTTCAGTTTTCTCCATCTTTCTGTCTGTAGCATGGAGAATTCATTAGTGTTTGAGACTGTGCTAAATTTTAAATAATCAGAGATATAGAACTTGCTTAAAGAAACTCCAGCTTTTGGGAGAACAAGTAGTGGTTAAACCCTGGTTATTTTACCCAAAATATATATTGAGTGTCTATTATACGTCAGTTGTTATTCCAAGTTCTGGAAATACAATAAATAGTAACAAACAAGTAAGTGACTGGAGAGATGGTTCAGTGGTTAAGAGTGCACACTGCTTTTTTAGATGACTGAAATTCAGTTCCCAGCACCCACCTCAGGCAGCTCATAACCACCTGTAACTCCAGCTCCAGTGGACCTGATACCCTCTTCTGGCCTCTGCAGACACCTCCTGAACTCACATGCATATACTCCCACCCCATAACTAAAAATGAAAAGTGTTTTCTATTTCATTATTCTGTTCAATGGTGGACCATATGTAATAAGATTTATTCTCACATGTCATATGTTTTGCTTTATCAAGTTTTTTCAAATACATTTTATCACATTTCTACCCCTTTCCTATCTGCACCCACCTTACCACTCCCTTACTACCCTGTGCCTGATTTAATGTACTCTATTAAATACACACACACACACATACACACACACACACACACACACACACACACACACGCACACATTAGTCTATAGAGTCAAATTTGTGTCTCCAAATGCCTTTTGGTGTGGGTCCATCCACTAGAGCCTGGTTAACCTACCCAGCATCACACCCTTGAAGAAAAGTCTCTCTTACCGGATGTGTGGCATATGCCTTTAATCCCAGCACTCAGGAGGTAGAGGCAGGCAGATCTCTGAGAGGCTGAGGCCAGTCTGATCTACACTGTGAGTTCCAGGCCTGCTGAGGCTACAGAGAGACGCTGTCTCAAAAAGGCAAAAAAAAAAAAAAAAAAAAAAAAAAAACTTTCCTCCTCCTCCAAAAAAAAAAAAAAAAGAAAAAAACAAAAAAAGCTGACTTTCCCTCTACTAGCAGCTACCAGTTGCCAATAGTTCCTCAGCTAAGGTTGGGGCTTCTTACCCATGTCTTCATTTCTATGCTGGAATTTGGTCTGTCTTGAACTTACATAGCTCTTGTGCATGCTGTCACTACTGCTGTGCATTCACACGAACAACTGCCCAGCTGTCTGGAAAACTCTGTTTCCTGTGGTCAGCCATCTCTTCTGGTTCTTTCAATCTTTCCATCCCCTCTTTCGAATAATCCCTGGAGTTTTGTGAGGCAGACCAATTCAGGGATAAGCACTCTGCAGTATCTTATTCTACACACATTTGACAGTTGTGGGTCTCTGTGCTAATCACTGTTGCTTGAGGAAGCTTCTCTAATGAGAGTTGAGAGATGCATCAATCTATAGGTATAACAGTAAGTCATTAGGAGTCAGTTTTTAATACTACATCCATTTAGCAGAATAACAGTAATAGGTTTCCCCTATTGCCTGTGATCTGCCTAGCCTCAGGTTCCTAAGACTGATGTCATTGTCAGATGTGGACTTCATCTTGTGAAGCAGACCTTAAATCCAATCAGAAATAGGTTGGCTGCACCCATAGCACTCACGCCACTATTGACCCATGGGCACATCTTGCCAGGCCAGTTGTTGTAGCTCACAGGATTCAAAATGAGGCAAGATTAAAAATAAATCTTAAAAAGAATCAAACTGATTAGAAACGTTTGAATTATAACAAGAAATACTCTAATACTCTGGTTAAGACTACCAAGATTCTTATGACCTCTTGTGAATTAGCTCTATTCCTACCCTTTATTTCCACATATAAAACTTTGAGGTACTCAACAGCAGGGAGAGAAAAAAGCAAACTGCAAGGGAACTTGAGCAGTAGGTCTTCCATTCTCATTGTAACTAGAACTGCACAACCTCATCTTGCTCAGTTCATCCTGTACATGAGCAGAAGATAACAAATAGCCTGACCTGCACGCACAGCAAGCCTTCTTCATGCCTTTCAAGACTGCTTCATTGAGTCTAACATGTGGCCAAAGTAGGAGTCAAACAAATTATGTTGATTTTACAAGCCCGGTATAAGTACTTAAAATAGATGTTTAGAGGCTTCTCTCTTCCCCTTTCGGATTTTTTATTCCAGTTTAATTAAAAATGATGATAACCCAGCTTTGATATTTGGACTTGCCGGAGGGCAGTCTATATGGAATAGGGATATTCTCAGGGATTGTCTTCCTAACAGGAAAAAAACTTCATTTTTTTCTAATTTCTTATTTTATGCTTTTCTTGTCTACAAAGAAAGTCTCTGGCCAATATTCCAGGAAGTAGCAAGAGAAAAAGTCAGACAAGCAACATCGTTTACCATAGATGAGAAAGGGGAAGGGGTGCAGTGGTTCTAGGCTCTTGGAGCGGGCGACCTGCTCTTCCTGCTCGCCATGATGCTTAAGGATGCATACAATTGTGATACGTAATGTGTACTTTTGATGTCATTGTTGTTTAATTTTAATAAAGTGGTAAACTATATTATGTTGGTTTTTGGATTTAGATTCAGAAGAAAATCTAAACATAACAGAGACACTGGGGGGCAAAGTAAGAGAAAAACTGGAAAATGCCAAGGTAATACTGTCAAAGTTCTTTGTTTTCAGGATTATTGTTTTGGGTGAAACATGTAACAGAATAGTTGTTTTTTATGTCAAGAAAGAGCTGCCAGTCACTATTGATATAGCTCAGTTCCAGAAAAGATTCAAGTTCTAGCCTGCATGGCCTTTCCTTTCCTTTTGTCTCACAACACCCCTATGATATTAAACCTAACAGAAGAAAAGTTCAATGATTTGGTCATAGTAATTATATATGAATCTTGGGACTCTGAGTGTGTGTGTGTGTGTGTGTGTGTGTGTGTGTGTGCATGCACATGCACTATTAAAAAGAAAAACATTGAGGATTTTTGTTCATTTTGTACAGAACACTTGTGAGCTTGATAATGCTTATTTTCTAAAAAAAAATTGTGTTTCAGATTAGTCAAGGTGAAAAATCTTCAACTCAGCTGTTCAGTAATCCTAAGATATTTCAATGGCCTAAGGTGAACAACTTTCTTTTAAAAAACTTTTAAAAACAACTTGATGGAAGTTTTTGGCATTACTCCTAGCCTCAGCTGACCTAGAACTCACTGTGTAGAGCAAGCTGGCTTCGATCTCACAGAGATCTGTCTGCCTCTGCCTCCGAAGTGCTCAGATCAAAGGTGTGCACCACCACACCTGACTCTACTTGGCATTGCTTTTTGTGCTAATAAATTATGATAAATATTTATTAAAAGATAAACTTAAGCACATTAAATTTTTAAAGAGTTTATTTGAGCAAACCACTCACGGATTGAAAAGTTTCAAACAGCAGGTATATCGGGTTCCACCAAAGGAACATGAAAGGAAAGCATTTATGGAATGCATGCTGAAGCAATGCAAAGAAACCTGATTAACTAAAGTGAGCAATAGCCTTAATGACCCTAGTTAAAAGTTAGTAGCACTTGGCCCATCACAGAGTTAGATTCAGTTTGCTTATACAGGAACTTAACGACTCTGGAGTCACCTCAGCCTAAGCACCTCCCAGTCAATTCTAACAATATTAGGGATGATCTCTGACCTACAGATTTGGTGCTAAAATTCAGTGTGCAGCTGCATATTTGAAATGAAATGACAAAACATTTCCTATTGAGGATAGCCACGTTAGAGTACAGGTTAAGTTGCTGTAACAAAAAGATTTAAAGTAAGGGGATGGAGAGATGGCTCAGTGGTTAAGAGCACTGGCTGCTCTTTCAGAGTACCCGGATTCGATTCCCGGCACCCATGTGGCAGCTAACTACTGTCCATTACTCCAGTTTCAAGGGAGTCTGACTCCCTTTTCTGGCCTCCTCAGGCACTACATGCATGTGGTGTACTTACATATGCAAGCAAAACACTCATACATATAAAATAAATGTTTAAATTTTTTTTAAAGATTTAAGGTAAAATGTCTTTATCAAAATAGTTTTACTTCTCTCTAGTATAGAAGTTAAGTATTCAGACAAGAGTTCTGCCCTGTTGAAAGTTCAACATGAGACTTTCATCTCTGAGTCCATGGCATGAAGCCACCATTTTTTTCATTTGTGAGCCAAAAGGAAGGTAGAGAGAAAGAACCAAAGAACCAACAACTTGCAGGTTGATCTTTTACAGGTCAGACATACAAGTTGCACAAATCATTTCCAGTAAAGAATGTGGATGAAGTACCTAGGTATCCAGCTAAAACTGGTTCTTTTATTAAGAGATGTGAGGGCAGTATTGAGCAGCTAGTAGTTTCTGACACAGCCATGTAGAATATATTTAGCTCTGCACATTTTATTTATTTTTATTTAAGATTTATTTATTTGTATATTATGTGTATGAGTGTTTTGCCTGCATGTATGTATGTATGGGTATGCACATGCATGCAATGCCCTCAGAAGTCAGAAGGGAGTGTTGAATCCCCTGGAACTGGAGTGACAGATGGTCTTGAGCTGCTTGAGGGTGCTGGGAACAGAACCCTGGTCCTCTGCAAGAGTAAGTGCTCTTGACAACTGGGCCGTCTCACCAGTCCCCTAGCTGTGCAAATTTTTAAATGCAAAGATTGATTGTTTAGTTCATTTTGATCTGCTCTTTAGTGTCCTTCTCAGATGCTTAGAAAAATATTTTAATTAGAAATAGGGGCAGACTAAAAATATTTATGACAGTCATTCAACATAGGGATAAAAGTATGCACAAGTGATGAATGACAAGGGACTTAATACTGAAACCTCATGCTGGAATGCAATATGCTGATGTGCTTGAGAAAAAAAGAATAAAAGCTTGCTTAAATTGGATCTAATTTAAATATGAATAGTAAAAAGTTGGCCAAAGTTGAATTCCTGAGTATCAAGAAAAGAATAAAAAGAAAGAGAAATTAATGTCTTAAGAATTTCAGTACCAAATACGGACTGTCGGCTCAGGAAGCAAATTAGCAGAAGTGGTGGGCACTTCATGATGCAAACGCAGCTGAACTGTAGATACAAGGCAAACACAAGGGAAACGTCCACATTCGGAATGTTCAGAAGTTCTTTGATTCCTAGTATGATTCTTTTTCTTTTTATACAGAATTCAGTCCCTTCAAAACCTCCATTAAGTTCTTTTTCATATCTGTGTATGAGAAAGAAGTGGCATGATTTACATTTCAAAGAATCCAAATTTACAGCATAGAAAAAAGAGGACTTATTTATCAACTGGTTTGTAACTAAGAATATGTCACCAAAGACTGTGGGACTGGGATGGAGTGGTACTTGTGTGTGCATGTTTGCGGGTGTGTCCATAAGAACTCTTAAACATAGGGAAAATTTGTCCTGAGGCAGCGTTTTGATCAAACTGTGCAATAATTCTCTTACTGCTCAAATTAGAGTGTGAGCCGTGGGGGCATATTGGTTAGAGGTGGAAATTTTGGCTTTATTTCAGTTTCCAGAACAAAAAAAAAAAAAAGAAAGAAAGAAAAGAAACTCGTGAACCAAAGCTAAATTTATATATAACCTGATAAAACAACTCTGTCCTGTTGTTCCTTATTACTGTTACTGTTTACCGTGTTGCCAAAGAATATTTATTAACTTATGTTAACTTATATGTAGACGATATATTCGCTGCAACATTGACTACTGGTCTACTGTTGTTTAACCCACAGACTGAAGTTTTACTGGATGAAAGACTTTCATTTTTCATCTTGAGTGGTGAAGAAGACTCAGCCTTGAGTCAGTCTTCAGGGCAGGTTGGACTGGTTTCCCTCGTTTACATCCTTATTCCCCCAAGATTCAGCTATTTGTTAAAGACATAGAATGAAACACTTAGATAGGAGATGGATTTATTTTTGTTTGTTTGTTTTGAGACAAGGTCTCCCTATAGCCTGAGCTGACAGGGAACTTGCTATGTAGACCAGGCTGGCCTGATCTTACAGAAATCTGCCTACCTCTGCCTCATGAGTGCTGGGATTAAAGGTGTGCATTATCATGCCTACCCTTTGGCCTGGAACTTTTCGATCCTTTTACCTCAGCCTCCTGATTGCTAAGCTAACAGGTATGAACCCTCACAACTGGTTTGGAAGATGAAATTTTTATTATTATGCCTTCCTTTTCTCTAAATTGAACTGATCGTTAGAATAACTAACATTTACTGAGCTCTTACTGGATGTTCAGTGATAAAATATGCTATCAAAGTGGATTGCATTAGTCAGTACTCATAAAAACCCTACAAGGGGGGGCTGTGCGTGGTGGCGCACGACTTTAATCCCAGCACTCAGGAGGCAGAGGCAGGTGGATCTCTGAGTTCAAGGCCAGCCTGGTCTACACAGTGAGTTCTGCCTCTGCCTCCCAAGTGCTGGGATTAAAGGTGTGTGCCCGCCTTGATTGTTTTTTAACACATTAACACATTACTTTATTTTGGGAAAATTTTAATTATACAAAAATATTGGAAAATGGCAAGCTAACACCTGTGCTCTTAATAGCCAGAAATAATGATTGTTTAAAGTACACACAAGGTTTGGGAGCTGGCTCAGCTGGTGAAACGCTTGCCTTACAAGCACAGGGATCTGAGTTCAATCTCCAGAACCCACATAAAAAAGCCAGACATGGTGGTAAGCCCTTGGAAACCCAGCCCTGGGGAGGTGGAGACAGGTGGATCCCTGGGTCTATCTGGTCAGGCAAGCCAGTCTAGCATCTTTGACAAGTTCCAGGCCAATGAGAGACCCCATTTCAGAAAAAAAAGGTGGACAGTACCTAAGAAACAATACTCCCCAAAACATACAGAGAGAGAGAGACAGAGAGACAGAGACAGAGACAGAGAACCAGTTCATTCTACCTTCAGACTGTCCTGTTATCTGACCCATGTTTTCCTGCCTTCACTAGGACCACTGCAGTTTAAACCATCATAAACTCGCTATCTGAATCATTGCCAAGTCTCCCTGTCTTCCACATTGCTCTTTCCATATTTGAACAGAGCTGAAAGCAACACTGTCAGAATCTAAGACCATTCTTTTACCTGCACTCTCTAACCTCTTCCTGTTTCATTTAAAATAAAAATGAAGGTCCTTTGGGCATTCTTTAAGGCCTGCAAGACCTGGTCCCTCATACTCTCTGACTTTGTTTCATTTCTTCTCTTTTCCTCCTCCCTCACTTAACCACATGACTCCCTTCTGTCCCTCCCTTGCATATCACTCTTGCCCTGGGGGCTTTACACTTAATTTATCTGCTTTGAAAGCTCTTCTCTTAGGTTCATGGTGTAACTCTCACTACCTTTGGACTTCTAGTCAAATGACACACTATTAAAGAGGCTGTGTCTGAAAGGCCTGTCTAAAATAGCAGCCTCAACCCATCCTGCCCAGAATTCTCTATCTTCTTATCCTGCTTTCTTTTTCTTCACAATTCTTTTTAAAAAATATTTTATTTATTTTATGTGTTTGCGTGTACTGCCTACATGTATGTAAGTACAACCCTGTCATGCAATGCCCATGGAAGACAGAAGAGGGGATTGAATCCCCTGGAACTGGAATTATGGACGATTGTTAGCCACCATGTGGGTGCTAGGATTCAAACCCAGGTCTTCTGCAAGAACAGCCAGTGCTATTAACTACTGAGCCATCTCTCCAGCCCCTCTTCACAATTCTCATTATCACTTAATATATAGTTCTTTGTCTATTTATTTTATTTCTGGAACATATTAGGTACTCAGTGAATATTTGAATATAAGAAATATGTCTGTCAAACATGTCCATGCTCTTAAATGCCAAGTTAGATGGCCTTCTAGCCTCTTAAAATATAGATTAAGGGATAGATTTTTCTGAGAAAACAAGAGAAACATTTGTCCCTGGTCCTGTTCCCCAGCAGGGTATGCAGGCACCAGATGTAATCACCGGCCTCTTTTCCTTCTCATAAAGCAAGTATGGAAGAAATCAAGCCAGCAGGCTTGCAGCGGGGCCATTGGGCTAGTTGGGTATGAGGAAGACCAGGTTAGATACAATGCTACTCAGAGCTATGTGGAAAAGCTATTTTCCTGAAGCTGGTGACAGGGTCATAAAGAGAAGAAATCTATTTTACAGGAGGCTGAATTTGAGTATGGTCTCTTTCTTCTGAGAGAAAGATGGGGCAGTCCCAAGTACCTAATGTGGGTACCCAGAGTGAGGTCTACAGGTGATCTCAAAGGACTCTCTGCTCATCATACTGCAGCAGCACGGAATGTTCCTGAAAGGCAGGGCAGGGGCGGCATCTCCTTTTATCACACAATACTCATTTATGTCCATCTACACCTAGCAGCCCACAGCTCGGATAGAACTCTGCTGCAAGCTGCATACCAAAGACCAAGAAGGTGATGATTTGGGAGAGCAGCAGAACTTATATTAAATGAGAAAGGACTGTACAGCTAGGGCTCATGTGGATCAAGATCATAGCTTGTCTAGAGTGAAAACAAAGGCATATTAGGTAGGGCTCATAAAGATGCCTGTAGGTTATACATCAGGGGTCCAATTGGAAACCCCACTATACTCATCCATCGGGACAGACATTTGCTCTGAAAGCAGCTTGAGAGGCCAGGCCTGTACCAACAGTGTTGTAGAGGAACCTTGGCATGGGGGCCTGCTGGGGCAAAGAACCCTATTAGTCAGTGGTCCGAATCTTTAAGGGGATCTCTATGTGGAGAATCCCACAAATCTTGCTTCTAGATGTTGATGTCATATACCTTGCTTGAAATCCTAAAATGGATACCACAAAGATATTTGGCTAGAAAATAAATATTTCCTTGGTTTCGTGAAAGGGATAGGAAGGAGGGAATAATGATCAGACTTATTGCAAAGCATACTTTCATGTTGTCTTGTTCAATATATGTAGTTTTCAAATTGCACAAGTAGCCATCTGAAACAAATGTGATACGATTTTTGTGAATACACCTGTACTTATGATGTAATATTCAGATACTTATCAATAGAAACATGTACATTTTCATACCTATATTCAGATTTTGTTATAACTTGTATAAATAACTTTTGTATATAACTTGGTCGATGTTTATGCTGCTATTTAGTGGCAAAGGGGCACAAGGGCAGGAGGGGGGATGAGGAAGAAGGGAGAGGAGAGAAAAAAATAAAGACACATTCTGTTTGGAAAATGTCATAGTAAAAACTAAGTCTTTGTAAGCCAAGAAAATTTTTCAAAAGGAAAAGTTATTAAGACCCAGACTCAAATATACTTTAAAATTTTTGTTAGGACTGATCAAACAGCATGTAAAGCTCTGTAGTTATAGGACCCCTGTGAGCTGTGTGTGGTGGCATGTACCTATAATCCCAACACTTGGGAGACTGAAGCAGGAGGACCTTGAGTTTTAGGCCAGTGTGGGCTACAAAGTGAGTTCCAGGCTAGCCAGAGATACAGAGATACTGAGACTCTATCTCAAAAAATAAAAAAGATGGGGTTAGGGAGAGGGCTCATTGGTTAAAAACACTGCTGCTCTTGCAAAGGACCCAGGTTCGATTCCCAGCACCCACATGGTAGCTAATACCCATTGGTAACTCCAGTTTCAGGGGAATCTGTCGCTCTCTTCTGACCCTCCTGGGCACTACACAACATGGGTGCAGTAACACCCATGCAATAAACTCATACACATAAAAATAATAAAATATAAAAAAAATAAAAAATCAAAACAATTCTGTGATTCTGTTACTTACCCTAAATGTACATTTTTGAGAACTGAGAGTTTTTTTATTGTATGGCATACTTCCATGCTGTCTTGTTCAAAATATGTAGATTTCAAATTACACAAGTAGTCATCTAGAAACTACTGATTTGGTTATTTTGAAAAGGCCTATACTTAGCAATCATAATATTCTATGTAGATTTCAAATTACACAAGTAGTCATCTAGAAACTACTGAGTTGGTTATTTTGAAAAGGCCTATACTTAACAATCATAATATTCAGATTTTTTTTTAATTTTAATTAAAAGAAGCATTTCATTACAACAGCATTAACCTATTCAATAACATTTTTCTGAGCTAGGGTACATCTCTTTCAAAATTGGCTGTACATTTTTAGGTTTACAGAGGAATTATTACGCTTGTACAATCTTTTACTGATTATAAACTCTACAAGACATAAAATTAAATGAGGTTTTAATGTTTAGAAAAGATCTCCACTTCGTTGTTAAAATACAGTTTCATACAGAAAAATTCATTTTAAGGCAACTGACATTGAGACGTTTTCACATGCATTTCTAATCTCTATATATATGACTATTACTGGTCACAGTCACTTACTTTCTGAGTTCCGTGGCATCTGAGTATGAATATAAACTCGTCAGATAAACAGCCTTCTTCTCCCTCTAGAGCCTCCATACTCTGTCATCCCTGCCAATGTCCACTGTGTTGTCAGGACCCCCATCTATTGCCCCCATCTGTCCTTCTGATAAATCTAGTCAGCCAGAGGTCCCTGTTCCAGGAGGATCAGCTGTTCCTCATCTACAGCAATCCATTGTCAGTATTCCTTTGGATAGAATTGGGG